TATTGTTCACTCTCGTTGATATCTGATTAACAACCTGGTTAGATGTAACCCAAAAACCTTATATCAAGAAAAAAGCTTGTGGAAAGGAGATTCAAAGGATGTGAAAATCTTTGAGAAATCGTTCATTTTGCGATCTTGACCACCTTATATAAACTGTTCAAGGAACTGAAAAAGCAAGTGGATAGGATCAAAATATGCCATCATAGTTATTCAATGAAAAATTCATTACTCAATGTATAAAGCTTGCGGAGGTTCTAGTTGTCAGAGATAAGTATTTTATTCGATAGATCGTCAAATATCTCAACAATTTGGAAATAGAACCCCTATAGTTTGTTATACCACATTGCCTCGTTTGAAAATGTTTCGAAAGTAAGGACCTACAATTGTTCGAATTCACTTATGGTAGATGCTATGCGTAATAGCAGTCTTATCGACCGAGCACACACTAAAAACTCACCCTGTATATACATGTTAAAACACCCCATTTGGCTTGACTGAACGATAGCGTCATCTTGCACAGTGGTGGACGTCAGACGGCAGACAGTCGATCAAAGTCAATCAAACATACCCATACACACAGACACAAGTCCATAGACATTCTTTCCCTGTCCCACCGGTATTTTTTTTCGTATTTTTCTCAGTAGCTCCCCCGCCACCGGACCGAAGTACTACAAAGCTTTTCGTCCTTTCTATAACAGCAACCTTGTGTGACAACTTCATTAAAACCCGAGTGATAGACGGGCCAAGGATTAGCGGACAAACAGACAGATAGACGGAAAGACAAACCGACGACAGAGAGAGAGGGAGACATACTGAAATGATTGTCATGGTTTTTCGTGATATACATGTCATATAACAATCAAAAAAGATATCTCATTTTCGAAATTTTTCGCAAATACAGTGTTTCCTCGCCAGTAGGCGTGGAAAGCAAGAAGATATTTGACAACTCCCCTGTCACTTCATTGCGGTGTTCTTACATAGATGAAATGAAAAAACGATTAGTGTCGAACATTCAAATAATTCTGCAAAAGCTTTTATGATTTTATTGACATTTCGAATTTGAAAGTTCAGCTATTCCTGCTTCTATTAAGTTTCCGTACGTCACTGAAAGGGGCTCTCCATGCAATTTCATGGGCGAGTGACCGTTGTTAGATTTGGTGGAAAAAGCCGGCGACTCTGTTATTGTTAAAGTTCACGTTTTAGGGCAGCCTCAGCAGGAGGATAAAGTTTGAATTAAAGTCTGGAAATAGGGTTTACGAGCGATTACCGCGGCCCAACGTTGTAGCTAACACGTCCGCGCTCTCTAGTTTCAACTTTAAAGATGTATGTGGTTACTGTAAATCCCCTCATACTGAGAAGTAGGTATATCTAGATATGTGAGCGCTTCGTATAGAACACAAAGAGTAATGTAAAAAAATATTGACAAGAGACTACTGCAATTGAATTGTTATTGACAACTTTTAAACAGTTTAGTCCAATGATACTTTAATTGGCACCAAATCAGGTTTTTGAAGAGTATTTATTTGAAAATGATTTTCAACTATAATATTTAAAGGTGTGACATAAATCATGTGTCATCATTGCAAAGTGAATGCAATTTTTGATATCATTTAAATCAATAACAAATTATGGGGTCCAATCTTGGGCACTGTTCTCCACAAAAGGGTATTACGTTTCCCATAAAAGCTTATGATTATCCGAGAAACTAAACGATAGATGTCGGCGAAAATTTGCAGATAGATAGATCTTGAAGATGCAAGAACAGTTTTACAATTTGGAAGGAATATTATACTTATTGATCAAGTTCCCTAATTTTTTGCCCGAATGCTATGAAGTAAATCTCTAGCTGCCCAGTGGTTCTATATCAATATCTTTACCCATTTCTACTCGTATACCTCTTGCTATTAAGAAACCCTCTACGCAACGTGTGGCATAATAAATTAATAACCCTCTGCCTAAATCTCAACTCACCCCTCTAACGTTCTTCAACCCTTCAAGCAGCGCCCATCGTCTTCTATACGAAAGGGTTCTGTTCTCGTTTTCATTTTCTCTCCCTAATTATGCCAGTGTTAATAAGAGCGAACTGTAAATATTCATATAATAGAGACATGTCGAGAGGGTGGAATCGGGGTTAGAAGGGGGTTGGAAAGTGTGTACACACTGTTGGAACCAAATGAAAATGGCACTATTAGGAACTTAATGACCATGGCATGTGCATTGAGTGTCGTAAGGGATGTAGCGGCTGTCGCATGGAGGGGTAGTGAGGCAACTATTTTTTGTTTAGTATTGAGTAGCTACTACAATCCAAAGGTAACGTTTAGTCAGAAAAATATCTTCCGGTGAGACCACAAAAGCAACGGATCTTAAGGAGAACTCTGGGTTGCGTTTGATGAGAACAGTGTCATAAAGATCTCTCAGTCGTTATTATTATTATTATTATTATTATTATGTCTTTATTAAGTATTGTTATATACAATACAGAAATCTGCAACAGGGCGAAGTCTAGCCTAAGCTACTCTACTTAACCCTAAATAAAAGCTAACAATGAAGAAAGCCACAGATAATACATAAAATGCAATCATCAGAAGTGATCAAATACAAAATAGCATAGAAAATATGAGATAATTTGAATGAAAATAAACAAAAGCCTAAGTCACAAAACCGCAAAGCGAAGAGTATATAATCAAAAACTATTGAACTATCCATTACATTGACTATTGTAATAAAATTGCCTTACCAGGACTTTAAACATCGGTACAGAACTAAACTTAAGCGCGTCATCGATACTATTGTATATAGTAACAGCATTATATGAAAAAGATTTTCTAAATAAAGATAAACGAAACTTAGGAAGAGAAAGTTTATTAGTGAACCTCGTATTTAAATCATGCAAATCACGCCTAAAGACTAATTTTCTTTTCAGGTAAGCAGGGCTCTGTGATGATAAAATACGGTGAACTAAAATAGAAGTATAATATTTATGAGTATATTCCAGTTTTAACCATTTTAACTCATTTATTTTAGCTGAGATTCGATCAAACTTTTTGAGCCTAAAAACAAATCTACAACAGCAATTTTGTACCTTTTGAAGTCTGTATTTCAAAATAGACGTTAAGAAGGGATAATAAAGCGTGATTGCATGATTTAAAATAGGTAATACTAGGCTCTCTGAGAGCTTTTTACGTAATTTAAAATTTAAAATACCACCATTTCGATACAGTAGCCTTAAAACTAGGTAAGTCTTTTTCACTAATAGTGAGACGTACTCTTCAAATCTGAGCTTACAGTCGAAAATAACACCAAGATTCTTTGCACTATTAACTACTGAGACTGATTTTCCATTTAATGTTAAGTCGATATGCTGCATAAAAATTTCATAACATGGCGGAGAGAAGATAACAACTTGACATTTATCTGGATTGAGGTTTAAGTTGTGATTAAATGAATATTTTTGGATATTTTCTAAATCTTGATTAATATAAGCAGATGCGGAATTTATAAATCTAGGATCGAACGACAGGTATAATTGTGTGTCATCAGCATAACCTTGTATCTTGCAATAAGTGATAGTTTTAAAAATATCAGACGTATATATAATAAATAGCAAAGGTCCTAATATGGAGCCTTGAGGGACTCCAGAAGTCACAGGCTGGAAGTCAGAATACGAGCTATTATCAACCACAACACATTGGTAACGGCCCTGAAGGTAAGATTTGAAAAGTCGGCAGCCCAATTGATTTATACCATAATATCGTAACTTTGCAAGAAGTAAGCAGTGATCAATCGTATCAAACGCCTTCGAAAAATCAAGAAATACAAGAGCTGTAGCAAGGCCAGCGTCGAGAGATCTAATAATATCATCTGATACATTTAAAAGGAGCGAAGTTGTGCTATAGCCCCTTCTGAATCCAGACTGTGATTCAGGTATAATTTGGTTAGAAATCACAAATTCGTATAACTGTAAATAGATCACCTTCTCCAGTACTTTAGACAGAGCAGGCAGTATACTAATTGGTCTTAAGTCATTATATACAGACGGTATGCTTATTTTGGGCAAAGGTTTTATAAGAGCATATTTCCATAAACTAGGATAATAGCCAACCTCTATGCAGCAATTTATAATATGAGTTATGTGTGGGGCAGTTACAGAAATAGAGTATTGTAGCATTTTTGCACTAATTTCGTCCACACCATATTAGAAAAATTGGCTGAATTATAAAATGCAGTAGCTTCAGGACAGCTATTTGATGGACTAAAGGCTGAAAGAAAATGACTATTAATTTCAAAAGGTTCTTTTAGCTGTAGAGGTATATCTGTATTATGTTTTCTTTTGATATTGAGGCGATTGACTGCTTGCCAGAGATCCCTATAGTTACGACAGTTTAGTGTTGATGACAAAAATACAGCTTTTTCATGTCTCAAAGCAGAGCACACAGAGCACATTATCAACTATGGCTAAAAAACGAGTCAGCATTTTCACCGTTAGGAAAATTGCAAGCGATATTTCACTTTACTTTTCTTGAGAGGTTCATTATGCGATAAAATCAAAATTAAACTGCTGCAAAAAGTAGGACCTCTATATTAATTAATAGATCCGTGGACAATTTTCCAAATTAGAAATTAGCGTCCGAAAGAGCGCCAACCAAACGGTATTGGGGGAGAGTAGAGCCTTATTTTTTTTTCGTGGATACTTTTAGCTAAGACATTTTTGGTCTATCCAATAACATTTAGCCAGCATTCTTACCTGACTGCCTCGGAAGGAAGGTTATGTTTTGTCGTGGACAAAAAAATCCATTTCAGGGGCTAGGCTTGATGGATTTTGGCATATATGAGGCGTCTCTAGATTCGTCTTGACAGCAAAAGTGAGACTGAAAATTTTAAAAATAAAAATTTCAGCTTTGACATTTCTATTTTACGAAACGACTCTAAGGATTTTGACAATTGAGGAGTCCTTAGATTCCATAAGAAATTTAACTAAAAAAAGGTCCCTAGAATGGTCTGACAGCTAGACAGGGAAGGCAGGCAAAAGTGTTCATTAAATAACGAAAACCTTAATTTACAGAGAACTTACATGTGGATTTGGAAGGAAGGCCATTACGGCCATAGTGGGTCTCCTAACAGGACACTGTCGAATAAATCGACATATGAGGCTCTTGGGTCTAGCAGAAGAGGCCACATACCGTTTCTGCAGAGAGAAAACTCTAGCGCATCTCTGGCGTCACTGTGAAGGCATGGCACGGCTTCGGTTTCAGGTATTAGGAATCGCAACTTCAACAGCGGCGGCAGCGAAAAAGTTCAAATACGAAATAAAATAAAAATCGCTCAAACTCCGTTTTTTGACGTTTCAGGATCCTGACCTTTTTCTGAAAAGTTTTCTTTCGCTAACTGCAATCGAGTTGTTTATATTATTTAAAAATATACGTGTTTAACTCATCCTGATAGTCAGCAAATAACACATCATTTCACATTCGACACACGTCTCCTAAGGTTGTATACTCCACTCGATATTCGATCTGATGGCACACCTTCGGCATACCAAGTCTTGCCCCAGTCTCCCCCAACGCCGGGTGCAATTCGCTGTCATTAGCATTCAGGGGGCAATTTTAAATCGCCCGCCGTTGCGCCTGCTGGCCAGCCATTGGACGATCAATTAACGTACGGCGTTAGTATGCACAGAGAGCGCTCGGATAGGTCCGTTAACACTAACAGAAACGGTTACGGCGTCGTTGGCTTAGATAAATGAACGATTGGCTAGAGGGCGCCACTTGCACACATAGGAATTATTAACTGTTCCGGACCGGGACGTGATTGGAAAGAAATGCCGTTGAATTCCGGATGAACTGGCTGTGCGGATGTCGTTCGAGGTTTATTCTTCATGAAATTTAAACTATACAGAGTGGTTCAGAACACAATAGCTCTATTCATAGATCAGAAAGTACTTCTTAACCGATAACAAGAATAGTTCCTATGAACATATGTGCAAAACTGTCCTCTTGCAAATTTTTACGTCACTGATGAGGTTGTATTAGGACAACACATTCAAATTGTTCAACTGACGCTATAAGATAGGATTACTTCTCTAACACACTACTTACATTATAAATGCCAAATTAGGCTAAATTCAGCGTATTTTCAAAGCAGCGCTGATTGAAGCCTTTTAATCGAACGATTTTTTTTACAGAAGACAAAAGTTGAATCCGTTATTATATACAATAATTTAATAGATGTTTCGATAAAATCAGTGACGTAGAAAATAATTTCCTTTTTTTCTGTAGTGGTCGACATTTCCCTAATTCGACTCCATTGGTCTAGTCTGAAGCTTTATTCGTATTTTTTAAATGGAAGTCCTTACATGTAATTGCAGATTTGGATAGGCCCCTTCCAACGAAGCTAATCGTTATAACATAACAGTTTTCGTTAAAAAACTTAATGATCCCATATTTTGTCCCTATCTACTTACTTTTTAGTTTTTTTGTATAGTTTACGCAGGGTGATAAGGAAGCCAAAATTAACTATTTCTCAAAATTTTAAAATGGTATGTTGTATATTTATGCACTTTTTGATTTCCATTTTCATAACATTTCTTCAGGTATCTATAACGTTTATGGAGGCTTGTATGACTAGTTTCTGGGTTGTTAAAAACATAGGGGCCCTTTTTGACTTTATTGCGTAAGGCTAGGTAGTTTTAATTTATAATAAATATACGCCATCTAATGATCTGTTGTTACCAACTATGTTTTGTAATATTGTTCACTCTCGTTGATATCTGATTAACAACCTGGTTAGATGTAACCCAAAAACCTTATATCAAGAAAAAAGCTTGTGGAAAGGAGATTCAAAGGATGTGAAAATCTTTGAGAAATCGTTCATTTTGCGATCTTGACCACCTTATATAAACTGTTCAAGGAACTGAAAAAGCAAGTGGATAGGATCAAAATATGCCATCATAGTTATTCAATGAAAAATTCATTACTCAATGTATAAAGCTTGCGGAGGTTCTAGTTGTCAGAGATAAGTATTTTATTCGATAGATCGTCAAATATCTCAACAATTTGGAAATAGAACCCCTATAGTTTGTTATACCACATTGCCTCGTTTGAAAATGTTTCGAAAGTAAGGACCTACAATTGTTCGAATTCACTTATGGTAGATGCTATGCGTAATAGCAGTCTTATCGACCGAGCACACACTAAAAACTCACCCTGTATATACATGTTAAAACACCCCATTTGGCTTGACTGAACGATAGCGTCATCTTGCACAGTGGTGGACGTCAGACGGCAGACAGTCGATCCTTTGTCTGCTTTGCTAACGTATCCAGTTGCTTTTGATGTTGCCACCCCCGAGTCGGTGGTTGAGAAGACTCTCGGGAGGGCGAATTACTCCCGGATGATCGACGTAGATTAGACTTATTTAGCCGCCTGCCTTGATTCGGCCGTTCTTTATTAGTTGGCATTAGACTCACTTTGAATACGGCTGTTATCTTTCCGATGGGAGTTCTTGACTTACCACAGAAAGCGGAGGTTTTTATAACAACCACTCGAGGTGTATTAGATGAATGTCTCGATATCGTAGTGGTTTTTTATTATGAAATAGCACATTCAGCAAATTTCGTTGTTTTATCGCTGTTGCTGACGATAGAGTTCCATAAAAAACGAGGCATAAAAGTATTCAAATATGAGGCGATGATAGGAGTTGAAACAAAGGTTGATTTAACAGTGACCTTATTTGATTGGTATACCAGAAGTAGCCCAAAAGAGCTTGGGTAAAATACCAGCTACACACCTTTAATTAATTATTAATACCGATGTTCTCGTAATACCGAAGTAGCTATGTAGATAAAATCCGAAATCCCGGGGGACCATGGTTTAAAGACACTTTCTTACTCCAATTTTTAAACTAACGTTAATAGAATTTGGAAAAGCCTTCTCTGGCAGATCTGGATGGAACGAAGTTCAACACGGTTCGGATGTGACGCCGAAGTTTGGCAGCTCTGTCTGGCAGGCACATCGCGCGGCGGCATAATGAGAAAGAGCTCTGAAGAGCAAAGTACGTTGAAATAGTAATAATCGAGGCTGGGTATTATCTAGCGATTTTAGAGAGCGAGGATCAAGAATGCCTACCCTGGTCGGCGAATGCTTCTCTAATTCGTTTAGGCTGCTTCTCGCATTCTCAATTAAAACAGAATTAATCAAACAGTAATATGCTATTTCGTGGATCTTAAAGCACGTCTGATCCATATCTTTGCTTTGAACCTCGTCAAAAAAATACCATTGGCAATATGGTGACGTGACAATAACGTGTGCATATTCTGCATCGTCAACTGTTTCTGCAAACTGCTGCAGTTGTTCCTACAAATGGTGCAACGCCAACTGGGAGTCGTTACAATTATCGGGGTTTTCATCATCACGGCGCACGTGAATGGAGTACGAATTGTGCGTGTGTATGACTGTCTGTCTGTATGTCTGTGCATTATCGATAATCAATTTAAAAAGGTGTACACACGGCGGGCATAGAATGATGCATTACAACAACCAGCGGATAATTATTCCGTAGCAAACAGCTACCATTCGGTTACATTCGAATCCAATTTCAACGACGGTTCGCGATGAAATGTTGCGGAAAATGCCGCACCGATAGTCACTTTTCGGTCATCTGTTACTAGAATCGACCACTGCGAAAGCGAATAGCAGCTGTCTATTGGGACTGTAAAGGTATCTCAGTTCACGTGGATATCTGACTATCAGTGTGACCGCTTGATGCCGTCGATTCTGGCGATATACTGGATGACGGTCTTCTCCTCATTATAATAATAATAATAATAATAGCTTTATTGTCCAACAGTTTCCCATTTATAGGACAATTTATAAACATATTACAAAACCAAAAAAAAAAGAAAAAAAACGAAAAGAAAACAACAAATGCAACACAGGTATAAATTTGTAACATGAGCTATTGGTCCGAATAAGCCTTAGCTGCCTTTAGCAGGTAATTAACATTTGTCGTAAATATATCACAGTAACATCCAATTCTGTTTAAGTTAGAGCACATTACATGTAACGGTAACTTGAGAAGAATGTTTGTCCTAGCTCTAAGAAGCCCGAATATTTTATGATTGCGAGATGCAAACGTTGGAGTACGAAACTTGATCTGTTCCAGGATCATGGGGCAATCAATTAAATTGTTGATCATTTTGTAGCCAAATATTATTGAGGCACAGTACCTACGTTTTTTCGAAGTCAACATGTCTAAGCGACTACATAGTTCCTCGTTACTTGTACCTCTCACTGGATATGTCCCATCAATCCTAAAGAGAACAAACTTCATAAACTTCCGTTGTACTCTTTCAATAGCTGTGCTATAGCATTCATAGTAAGGGCTCCAAATAATACTACAATATTCGACTTTGGATCTAACATAAGCATAATATAATAGCTTAATAGACTTTAAGTTATGAAAATTCCTGCAATTCCTTACTATGAAACCATAAGCCGCCAATGCTTCTGATGCTTTTTTATTTATATGCTGACTAAAAGTTAACTTTTGATCATAGATTATACCTAAATCACGTACATCAGAGCATCTTTCTAGCACAGACCCATCAATAGAGCACGGATATTCGCAAACATTAATTTTCCTGGTATAGCTGACTATTTTACACTTCCTCACATTAAGCTCCAGCTTGTTTTCTACACTCCAAGACAGCACAAAATTTAATTGGTGTTGTAGCTTGATACAATCATCAGGAGTATTATCTGCGAATAAATTTTCAGGTCGTCAGCAAAGCATAGGTGCTCACATTCAACTGAGTCACAGAGGTCATTAATAAATATTAAAAACAGTAATGGTCCCAGGTTGGACCCCCGAGGAACTCCAGAAGGTGCCAAGTAGGTCTCAGATTGGAAGCCATTATAGCTAACAAATTGTCTACGATCGGATAAGTAAGATTTCATCAACTCCCTAGCATCATCTGTGAAACCAAGTGCACCTAACATATTTAATAAAGTTTTGTGGTTAATTTTATCGAAAGCCTTCGAAAAGTCGGTATAAATAACGTCAACTTGCTCATTACTATCAATGGCTTCCGAGAGGTACTGCGTTATAATAAATAGATTTGTGGTTGTTGAGCGATTAGCGACAAATCCGTGTTGATGCAATGACAGCTGACGCTGGACGGCAGTGTAAATGCAACTGTACAAGACTATTTCAAAGACTTTCGAAAACATGCATAATATAGAGATTGCCCTGTAATTCTCAATATTTGACTTATCCCCACACTTAAACACTGGACAGACCTTGTCGATCTTCCAAATATCTGGAAATTTTTTTGTTATAAGACAAATATTAAAAATCCTAGTTAGCACAGCAACAAACACTTCCACACAATCTTTGACTATAAAGGATGGGATGCCATCTAGACCAGATGTCATCTTATCCTTTAGTGATTTAAAGGCCTTCCTGACTTCATTTTCCTCAATTGGATGAAAATGGACAAATAAATTACTATGATTTAGTGAGGCATTATTATGGAGCTTGTGAGTGGCATAGACGCTGCTGAAAAACTCACTGAATGCGTTTACTATATCCTGAGGTTGATCTATAGAATTATTTTGAAATTTCATTATCCCTGGGATTCGTAATGTGTTGTTTTTGGAGTGAACGTATGAGCAAAAAGCATTGGGGTTAATTGTTAAAGAATTCTGGATATTTTCAATATATTGATTATACGCTGATTTAATCTGGTTTTTTATCAAGCGGCGCAAACGTTTGAATTCTTGTAGTTCATCAACAAAAGCAGACCTGTTGATTTTTTTCCTAAATTTAGCTTTAAGTTTAATGTTCTTAATAATAACTGATTGAAACCAAGGCGGGTATCGGCGACTGTAATTCTTATACGTATGTGCCTGTCAAAAATTTGGAAAATGTTGCCATAAAATACATCAACAATATAATTAACATCAGAAGAGCAGAATAAAACATCCCAGTCAAATTGAATTAGCTCTTGATACAGGTCAGCCTTTCTGTAGTTATAAGTTATTTTACTATGATTGAATGTAAACTTAGGCTCTTTAATGAATATGGCAGTCAAATCAACAGCTAGTGCCGGGTGGTGACTATCACTAGAGGTAGTTCATCACGCATTACAGGGTAATTTAGAAATTACCAGGTCTAGCGACCGACCAAGTTGATTTAAGACATTATTTGACTGCTTATAATTAAAAATGTCCAAAAAATTATGGATAATGCGTGTCTTAGGGTCTAGAAGATTGCAATTTACAAGTTGAGGCACATTAAAATCTCCTAGAAACAGGGAATTACAGTCGTGCAAATAATCCAGTTGCTCAACAGCATCAAAGAACGATTCAAATTCATCAACAGCAATTTTGTCAGGAATGTAAACAACAGCCACAAAAAATGTCTTATATACCACATGGCATCTCACTATTAAAAGAACAATTGATGGAAATTGTGCATCAAATACAGCAACCTCTATAACCTCAGATTTAATGCATTCCTTAACAGCTAGAAGCACTCCACCGCCACATTCCTTATCAACCAATGTAAACTTACGGTCCTTCCTATGAACAATATAAGAGTCAGGAATTAGATCAGCACTCAAATCATTCTCATTCAACCACGTTTCACTTAATGAAACTAAGTCATATTCACTATCACTAATAGCCGGACTGATTATATGTAACTTATTATTCAACCCACGAACATTTTGATAGTAACACAACAAACAGCGCGAGCTCGAACTACCGAAACTGCTGGAACACTTCAGTTTAAATACTTCACAATTTTTGGATTCCCATTATAAACTAATAATACTGCTTTCGTCCGTCCGTTCTGTGGACCAACCGCCTACAACATTGTTTCCACCAACATGGTCCAGGTCTCTATAATGAACGAAAGCAGAACAGAAGCAGAATGAAAAAGAGACATAAAGGGTTATAATTATAAAATCTACATTAAAAAATTAGTTTTTCAAGCTGAACATTGTGAAGTTTGATTGTCAATGTTTGGAGCAGTCTGTAGATTCCATGAATTGAAACATAGAAGTGACTTCGTACGAAATTTCCCAAGAAACTTTTGTTTTCGCTCGTTACAATAAGTCATTTTCAATGTGACTGGATCTGTTCTTAAACAAATAAAATAAGATATATCTTGAATAGTAGACAAAATACAGGTTTTGTCCGGAAAGTAATAGGAATGAGTCGATTTAAGAAAATTTATTGAGCCAATTGTTACAATTCTTTAAAAACTTTCAAAATAGGCTCCTTCTGCGTCGATGCAGCGCTGCCAGAGCGATTTCCAAGCATTGAAGGCGTCACGGAAGGCATTCTCCGGAATAGCCCCTCTGTCGTCTCAAAATGCTTGCCTTTCATCGGCCTTTTCAGGCGACGAAACAAAAAAAAGTCCGGGGGGCACATCTGGGCTGTAGGGCGGCTGCGGAAGCGTTGGGATGCCGGCCTTGGTCAGGTAGCTGTTCACAAGAAATACGGTGTGAGCCGGGGCGTTGTCGTGGTGCAACTTCCAATCGGCTGCGATGTCTTGTCGGACCCGACTGACCCTTCGTTTGAGTCTCCTGAGCACTTCCACGTAAAACTTGGCGTTGACGGTTTGTCAAGTAGGAACAAATAATTCATGGTGGACGATGCCTTTGATGTCAAAAAAGACAATGAGCATCGTTTTCACTTTGGATTTGCCCATTCTTCCCTTTTTTGGGCGAGGAGACGCCGTCGTGTGCCACTCGGAAGATTGCATCTTTGTCTCGGGATCATACTCAAAGATCAACGACTCGTCACCTATGATTACGTTATTCAAAAATTGGGGGTCACTTTCACACATGTTCAAATTTTCTTGGCACACTTCCACTCGCCGCAATTTCTGGTCGTCAGTGAGCAAAAATACAATGAAATAAAACTTTAATCAAACTTAGAAACTCTGGTAATAAAAATTTTTTGTAATACCTCTGGTTTCTGAAATAAGCGCCTACAATTACTTCCTCCGAGCTCTTGTTTTTTCTGTACACTACGGATTCATTTTGTACTTGCTAACAACTCTCTTATTTAGAATAAAAATAGTTCCTTCGCACACAAAAAAATACGCTACTAGCAAAATGGCTGCTAGTGATCATGACTAAATTTCAAGTCAGGTAGGAATATAATAACAGTTTTTTACTTTATTAACCATGTCTATTTTTCAGAACTTCAAACACCATATCATATGATTTTAAAGGGCAATGAAACAGCCATAATTGAATTACGTTACACTGATGAGGGACAATTAACCAGATATGCGTGTCTGTATTATTTTTACATATAAAATTACAGCTATTGGAACGTGGAACTGACAACACAGTCTGTTCTATTGTCTTACCTCGTAATCAACAGTATGTACTATAATAATTTTAAAATAAACATTTTTCTAAGGTTATGTTTTGATTGTTTTTCAACTCAACTTTAGACAAAAGCTATATACTTTCCTGGTAAGATGTAAGAATATATGTTACGGACAATTGGTATCTAAGAAACATACTATAAACAGTGGGCGAATGCAGTCGCAAAATATATTGTAGAATGTAGGTGAATAATCTTTTATGCTTTTTTCATATCCCAACCAAATCAGGAATGTAACAGTAGCTCCTGTTCTATATAATCAAAACCAAATATTAGATCATCTGTATTTGTCGAATTGTGCCGAAAAACATACTAGATTGAACAAAATACAAGGTGTCCAAAAAGTACGAATACATCAAAATATTGTCAGAATTGTGATTTGGAGATTATTTTAGTTGAAGCCATTTTTTTATTCTATTACTAATTAGGTTATTTCTTCTTTCCAGACTGTTTACACCTGCAGCTATATAGAGACTCCAAAGACCGCTATAAACAAGGCCAAACCAAAGCTTCCCTTTCACTCCAACATTTTCTGGGTCTGGAATCGGGTTTTACGTTAGACAAAGAATCCAACACCGTTGCCATTTTGTGTCAAGATGTCGTCGTAGTGCTAGCATTTGACAATCGGGAACGGCTTATGCAATGGCAGGTACGTGATAGTCTTCAAAGTATTCTCAGTGACATTTGAAGTCTTACACCCAGAAAAAAATAATTTCCTCGACTTCATTCTTTAGTAATGAGGTAGTCTTACATCAATAATGAAACGATAACATTCTCACAACATTTTGTTGACAAGTAATTAAAAAAAATTAATAATGTGGTGGGCGACCCCGCAGCTGAATACACTCCTGTATACGTCTAGGCATCGACAAAAAGAGGTGATTGATGTATGGTTGCTGCACCTCATTCCAAGCAACTCGAACTTCGTATATTAGCTGTAGCAGAGTCTGTGGCGGATGGTGCAAGGTGGATAGTCTCCACTTCATTATGTCCCACACATGTTCGATGGGATTTAAATCCGGTGAACGGGATGGCCTCGGCAAAGCATTAACGCCTGCTTCTGCCTTCCAATGTTGGAATTCTCTGCTCCAGCTCAAACGTTGACAACAGTGGTCCAGAGGAAGCACTAACCGTGGACGGTATGAAAAAAGTCTGAAGGCTCGAATGTGGCGGTAGAATCTACGCATAGTAACAAGTCTGCCTTCTTCTAGAAAACAATTGGTCAGCCATGTGACGCGTAGTAGCAAAACGGTCTCGTAGGGCTAGTTGTCTGAAGGGCCTGTCTTGACGCTCTGTAGTACGCCTCGGTGGACCAGTTGGTCTTTTCAGTGTTCCTCTACCTTCTTCTATCCACACACGACACACACGCATTACCGTCATTGTAGTACAATTATCACGGCGGCCAATTTGGCGATAGGACAAACCAACATCTCTACTCAGCTCTTAGAAACTGCTTTCTGCACAATAACTAAGATAAATAAAAAATAAAATGTTGACATTGTTTCCACAGCATGCTTTGAATATAGTCATTATGTTGCCAAAAAAATTTTGGAAAAAATCATTTTTTCTGGGTGTAACACTTCTAATGTCACTGGGTATATTTTGACAGTCATACTGGGTTTCCAGATAAGCATTATATTTCCTTAGATGAAGATTAATTTACAGAAGTTGCGTTAAAATCCATATTATAATTTGAGAGTTTCATCTAGTTTAAGCCCAATTTTCAATTATTTTCGAACGACTGTTTTTTGACCGCCATTTTAACTTAATAAGAAAATCGAAATTCTGCCTTACAAATTATTATAAAATTTTGATGTTTGTTTGCTTACATTCCAAATTTCAAATTAGTTTGACGCTATGCTCCACGCGGTTTATTTGTCTAGGCTTAGCCTCTGGAACAATGAACGAAAGCATAGCAAGTACATTTCATATCCAAAGTATGAGATCTAATTTTCTTCTGTTCTGTTTTGAGATTGCTCTACTTTTGGTTTCTTATTAATGTGTTTCCATAGGTAAAGCTGAGCTCACACCTGAACGACGGCCCCCACTTCCTAGTTCTAGTCTCTTCGGCCCCTGCTAAATCTCGGTTGCCCCCTGGACCTGCGCGACTCCACGTACAGGAACGGGGCTTCTGCTTAACGACAGGGGTGCCGCCCAGAGTGGCCGGCCATTGGTTGATAGCGAATCTGAGGCGGTACGGAGTTGTAGAGGGGAGGTTCTGCTTCGAGGGAGGATCCAGGTTAGTACTTTACACAATTTTTTGTCAAATGGTCCTTCATTGAAATTTAATACCTTTCTTTTGTTCTATACCGTACTGATAAGTCTTGACGAGGATGAACAAATTTTAAAGAAATAGTAAAAAGTGCAATGGATTTAAGAAGGTTGATGGAAATGCTGTTTTAGTCAATAGTTCAAATTTTCCCGCAAAAACAGTTATGGTTTGCACTACAGATTCGCTGCTTCATAGTCATCGTATTTCTGAATTATATGCAGCCATCTAGGGAGGCATTCATCAACATAATTATCCTTACTCTTCCATCTCTTTATACACGGTGATTCACAAGTGACCAAAAATCAAAAATCATACACAGAACCGCATTTTAAGATGAGTCCTCTATGTAACATTTTTTCCTCTAGGGGTTGATTAAAAAGATACCGGGTGTTGAAGTTTAAAAATAAAAAACAATTTTTTTAATATCTTCAAAAACGTCAACTGGATTGAACTAAAATTTGGTATGTGGATTTACCTAAGTATTGTCCACACTCAAAAGTTCTTACTTAAAATTAACGTGCACGAGTGGCGGAGACACAAGGGATCAGTGGCATTATTTATCCAAATAAAAATAGTACGCCGTAATGGTCTTGTTTGCTTTTGTTAGTTAATCTGTTCGGATGAATTTGTTCTATAGTCTTGTATTTAACTTACAACCATAATAATCGTTTTACAGTTCTTCTGTTGATGTTGCTTTATACAGTTTTCTGTGTGTTGTTCTTTCCGAGGGTTATTGTTGTTTTGTGACTTTACGCTTTTGTACGTTGACTTACACTTTGACCTGTGTAAGCACGCAAGTGTAATTAAGCACCAATAAATAAATAAATAAGATTAATGGTACAGTATGCTAAACTTCGTCTTTCTGTTTGCACTCCGCATAATAAAGACGACTATTCCAATTTGGTAATAGATCTTATTTCATGCCACTTTTTCTTTTTGCAGGTGTATGAAAGGAGAAGGCCTATACGTCCTTCTGACAGACCAAGGTGAAGAAATAACTAGTACTTTGAAAATAGCAGCGACTGGAAACCTGCATTCGTCCAGAAGGAGACCTGTATCTAGGAATATGTCGGGTACGCTAAGCAACAGCTGTTCTAGGTTATGTAGATTTAGCGATATTAGAAGAATAGGTAAATATTATCTACTCTGTATAAACCAGTGACGTTTGTGTGTCGTCGTATATTTGATAAGCAAATGTCATTACTGCTATATTATTAATACATACAGTGACTGGAATAGACTACTCAGTCGAGGAAGTTCGCAACCACACAAGGCCGCGGTTCGTACTATGAACAAAAATCGTGCGACTTTAGGTCCAACAAAAATTATAATTTTTCTTCAACAACCAATCTCTAAATTAATCTTAAGATCAATTTAAAATGCCGAATACTAGTTAGCAATGCCAAGGCACCCCTCAAGTTGACGCACTTCTTTCTTCTTTGCTCTGCCTCCTTCCTTCTTTTCTTTCTTCTTCCACTTTTCCCCCCGACTTTGTCTGTCATCTGAGCAACCAGACCTGTCAGACCTACTGACTTACAAGACTTTAACCAAGAGCACAGGTCCTTCGGACCGCTCTGACAGACAATGACGAATAGAGTGACTTTAAGTCTAGCACTTATTCTGTCACAGTATACCTATGTTTTTTATCTACTAACCTGAGAAATTCCTCTAAATAAAAAATGACAATGAAAAAATCTTAGTTAAAATCTTCGTTTGTTTGTAGGGCACAGAATTGTTACTTCACGCATTTTATCCATTTTTGAATATCTAATAACTATTGCTCTATACTAATACAGAGTTTATCTCATTATTTTGATAGCTTTGAAGTTACATGCTACTTGATTAATTGATATATTTGAAAATGAGTGGCAACAGAATAATATGGCGACGTACCTACCATCTTCTACCTTCGTTGAACTCAATCATGAAGCGACAGCGTCTTTCTCCTACGCACTGTTCTGTGATGCAGATATTGGGTGTGCCAGACGTTAAGAAAATGCTCCAATATGCTATATTTTAAATTTAATTAAATGAAGTGTGGCAATATATCATAATTAACAGTGAAGGAATCTATACATATCTCGGTGGAAGTCACTATAATGGCGTAGTTTTCCACCAAGATATGTTCTATAAAACAAAATTTGCACCGCATTCTACCTGAAGATAGCCAACCATATACTATATTCTGGAGTCCGAACACGGATCTGAAAGATATTAGCGCCATCTATTAGACAGTGGCAGAACACAAAACTGAATTTAGAAATATACCTTGGAAACAGTTTGAGTATTTGGTTCTGCTGCTATCTCATAGATGCACTAGGATTTTCATTCCCTGTTTTGGTCCATGTAATGGCTATTTCAATTGGGTTATTGGATATTCGTTAATCATTATTTTATGTTTCGATACGTATACAATTCCACTTTTTTTTTCTGATTCCATATTGACTATTTGCGCTTTGTGTAGTGATGGACAGTCCCCGTCGTGCCCCGATGAGCAGGGCTGGATGCAACCTAGGTTTAGACATGAGCGAGACGTCGATGATGTCCCGCGCAGATTCTCCTTACACGGATATGGAGAGCAACTATGGCTGTGGTGATAGTATGTCCAATGATGGATGGGGCCCGCCCCCCATAGAAAGGTGCATGAGCTGTATCAGCAAACTAGGGGCTATGTCCAGGTAAGCATTTACATTGTTTTGAAACAACAGATAGTGGAATAGAAAAAACGGACTCTGTTTACACATCTTACTATTACGTGGAAGGTCGCTGATAATATTTATCAGCATAGTGATATTAGAGAGGAGGGCAAGGCGAATGCATTTTCATTAGGAAAGTCTCTTTGGATTGGAAACGAAGAATTTGAAGATTTGGATGAAATTGTTGCTCGACACGTTACACCTTCTCATGCTCCATGACAGGCGACCTACAAATGGCAACGATGTCCTATTTTGCTCCCACTAGGCGGCTAGTGTTATTGGAGGTCAAATCGTCAAAAGAAGATGAGAAACAGATAGTTTTTATCAATCTCTATCGAGAGGTATTCTATGTTTTGATGTCTATACAAGGTGTTCATTTGAAAACTTGAATTTGAACACGGATTTATCGAAAAACTTTTATTAAAAGAAAAAACGCCGATACATGTCAAAATATTTGTCAAGGGGGACAACTTTTTATCTAAAAACTGCTTCACCCCCTTTTAGCCTCGGCCCCCAGGGTCATTCCCTTAAAACTTTTAAATGACAAGTGGTATCGAGTGATAGCTTGTTTGAAAGGTCTTTCGAAGTCCTTCATTTTGACGATCGTTTTTTTTAAATCAGTCGATTCGTTTTCGAGAAAATTAGAAACATCTTTATTTATCTTAATTTGTTCAGATAGAAAACAAAAACACACGAAAATATCAGTTTTTATTTCAATAAGTGTTCAAAATGTTGTCCGTTTGATTGGACATCGCAACAACCAAATAACAACCCGAATTTTTTTCCGCATTCTTTTCATCAAGACAGATATCGTGGGTGAATTATTGTTATACCTGTTTAGTTATTTGTTGCTAAGGGAAATAAAGAATTTAATTTGCTGTATGTTACCTTTGTGACAATCTTGGGATAGTGAAAATTAATTTATTGATTCAGATTTTACTTCCAAAATGGTTCACACACTAGCCGAAAGTATGGAAATGGTTCTAATTTATGGTACCCAAAATCAATGTGCTCGGCAAACTTCCAGACATCCGGGGAAGATAACTCTTCGCATAGGCATGTTTTGGACCTTGTTACTAAATTTACTCAAACTGGATCTGTTGCAACTAAAAAACGTGATCATCGGAGAGTTTTGGATGAAGCCGCTTAAGTTGAAGTTTTGGGTCATTTTGGAATAAATCCTAATACGCAAAATTGTTGCTGTGACTGGTATTTCATTAGGCTCTGTACACACAGTTACTAAACTTCATAAATTTCATCCATTCAAAATGAAAATATTGCAAGAGTTGACCGAAGATGATTTCGATAGGCGAGTTGGGTTTTGTGAACAAATGACTGCTTTTCTTGAAAACTCAACTTGCTGCGAGACGAGGCTTCAAGAAAATCATAATTTTTCGAAAAAGAAAAGTGATAAAAACAAATGTAATCTTGTTTCATTCTGCCATAAAAGAGGAATATTCACACACAATTTGAAAGCTGTACTTATGTTTGTTAACAAGTTCCGATTGAAGAAACAATGCACAATAATATGCACAAAAATGCATTTTTGACAAAAAAAAAATGAAAATATTGTTTTTAGTCATCTCTATACACAACATGAAATCATCAGATGAAAAGGATTTAGAATACTGCCGTAAACAAGTAGTACAAAAAAACTAAAAAAAGGGACGTGCCACCTTAAAATAGTTTCTCATCACTCGATTTTTAGATGTGTAAGTGTGTTTAAAGTCTTGAAAAAGTCCTGCGGGATGGCTGGGCAGGAAAGCTTGATGGGAAAGCTAGGCAAGAAAATAAATCCAGATCAAAGCATTGGGCGTTTTTGAGAACCCGAGTAAGAGTATCTTTCCATGCATATTGGGTAGAACTTTGCAAGTATGACGGGAGATTGTTCCGATGTTCAATCAACATTTACTTAAAGTTAATAGTCGACGTCTGCACTCGTCTTTTTGTAAGGTTGACAGTATCCATCATTTTCACAGCCTTTTTTTACTTCACCTCTTTGTTTATTAGCATGTCTTGGAACTGAACTTTGAACCAGTTAACCTTAACCAATTAAGCTAAAATTGTTCAATATCGCACCAACTATTTTGATAGATAATGCAATTTTTCACCTGCAGTATCAACCAACCAATCTATACTAGGCAGAAAGATCAATCCCACAATTTGTTTGTCTTCAACATCAGGATGAAAGTGCATACAACAAGTGGACTTGACAATTAATTTTTCAACAGCTCTATCATTAAATTCGTATTTATTAGTGTTATCATTTAAAAATGCGAGTGTTTGCAGATAATTGTGGTAACTATTATTATGTTTATACAGGGTGGCCGATATGTAACTGACTGGTTTGTATCTTGAATATTTGTGAAATGAAATAAAATACGTAAATTTTTTTCATCTTAATCTTTTATTGAAACATAGAAATTATGTATGATAAATAGTATCAGACAAATGTCCGCCTGTAGAAGTCGTGCAAACCTGAGCCCTCTTGCATACATTTTCCATCACTTTTTCGTCGATTTCGGGAGGAATATTTTCAATCACTTCCGTAATATTGTTCTTCAGCTGCTCTACTGTATTTGGTTTGTTGGAATAATTTTTCAAAAATCCTCATAAAAAAGTCAGGAGCCGTTAAATCCGTTAAAAATTATCTGCGGCGTCTTCAAATAAGTAAGGTCCAAAGACACCATACCAAACACCACATCAAACTGTGACTCGACAAGTATGTAGTTACCGTTGATGGATGACACGAGTGTTATCTGTTGCCCAGATATGACAACTCTGCTTATCAACAAATCCGTTCATATCGAAGTGGGCTTCATCGCTCATTATCAGTTGTCGGTAAAATCGTTATTTTGGGTATTAAGCTGCAATATTGCATGACTGGATTATCGACGAGTTTTATGGTCATTAGGATGTAGTTCTTGGGTTAACTGAATTTTATATAGCCGCAAATGCAAGTCTTTTTTTAAAATAGTGCATAATGACGTGCGACGAATACCCAATCTTTGATAACAATATCTGGTAGTCGTCTCAGGGCGCTCCACTACACTTTCACGAACTCTCTCGATATTTTCTGGAGTACGAACAGTTCGAACACGGACCCTTGGCAAGTCCTTCACCTGTTTTTTCAAATTTTCGCACCAACTGACGAATGGTGTAAGTTATATATTGGCCACCCTGTACAACGTTATCACTTGGGTAGGTAAATGAGTCAAAAGTGTGCACTAAAACTACGCAATTTTGGCGTCAAACAATGCAATGTACACATGTAGGCTTGGCTGGTTCTAATCTATTCAAATTCGCTGTTGGTAAACCCACTAACAATGTTTCCTAAATATTTGTAGGTCTTCAACGGCGACAGTGACGGTTGGAGCTACGCCATGTTGGGAGCACACGTGCGATCGACACTCGATAAGCAGCAGTTCAGACAGCAGCAGCGGTTGGAGTCAAGCTGTGACCAGACCACCTGCGAGACCTCCTAAGCCCCCTGGGTCCGTGGGGGCTGCAACCAGTACCTCGGGAAGCACCGATTCCCCCACCAAAGCGCCAAGTCCACCATCTTATGATAATTACGATGTGCCCAAGATACCGTACCCAGTGGTCAGTATCTACATTTTTTATGTGTTTCCAAAACAAGGAGCAATACGTGACTTTATTTGAACAATTGAAGACTTGAAGTAAATAATGTGCTAAATACCAAAAAATCGGTTTTCATTTTATACCAGTACAATTTTCTAGGTACCATAACCGACAACATAGATAAAGCGCTAAATGTCATGGCTATTATATTGTACTGAATAAATTCCAACAGAGCGCGCGCGTGCCATAACGCCGCCGGTAAAAATGTGTCAATAAATATTTCTATATTTTATTAATAGTTTTCTGTGCTATTGTTTATTACGTTGTTACAGTTTCTTTTTATGGTCGACTAAAAATTAACTACATCTTGATAAAGTAAATTATTACAACGTCTTTCTTATTTAGAACAATAATTTTATAGCAGTTTTTAGAAATATCGAATTTCATTTTTATAACAAACCACTTCTTTTAGACTAATAACTTTATGGTCTTCAATTTGAAAACTATTTTGTGCAACAACAGTTTTCAAAGAACTGCGTTGTTTCGTTTTTTTTAATTAGCACTAAGGATTGCTCTGTTTTCCAAACAAATCAAAGTCCATGGGGTGTGAACTGTTATAAAATTACCTTTTTGGTAATGATTCAAAAACACATAATAAATAAAACTTTCGAAGAAAAATGATGGCACTGATATGCTAATTACTATTAAATATTATGTATCTGGAATAAATTACAAAAATGTTTTGATCTAGACGCGTGGCATTCTAAAAAATGAGCATTCGGGATCCAATTTCAAATATTGAATATGGCCACTTTTAGCGTTTTCTGTACAAAAACTTTCAATTTTAGAGAAAAATCATCAAGGACACTCTACTTGTACATTATCCAAAACACCATAAAAAACGGCAAGAGAGAAAATCAATTTTTGTCTCATACGTTTCTTGATCCTCGTCTTTTTTTATTTTATTTCTTCTTGTGACACTATTTTTTTTTTCAGACAGCCTCACGTTTTTCTTAATCTATTCCTCAGTTGTTCCTCTTTTTGAAGTTATAGGTCCTAAATATTTAAATGTGTCTGTTTCATTGATTTGCCTCCTTCATCTATCTCCAGGTTCCCTACTTCCTTGCATTATGTTATTTGGTATTCAGTTTTAATCAACTTTATCTCCATTCCGTTCTTTGTGTACTCTTTTTATAATTTTCTAATCATGGAACTGAGGTCGTCTTCGGCGTTAATTACTTGATCGTCAGCGAAACTCAAGATACACAGGTATTCATCCCTGTCCATAGAACCTTTATACCATTTTTCGAATGAGGGCATCAGCAACAGCGAGTATGTTTAGCAACCAACGACTTGAGAAAGCAAAATGAGCGCCGTCGGGGTTCAAACCCGTATCTCTTCCATTCCGTAGAGCCCACCCAACACATTAGCCTACAGCACCAGCTACCAGCCAAGTTTCAGGGTCGACTGTTAGAGGCAAATTCAATTCTACTCACACCACTGTTCTTCTATTATCTCAGGCTGCCTTGGTGCCCCATCTGGCCGCATTCAAGTGAAACAAACCGGATTGGTAAGGTATTTCCAGGCGCGTTCTAGTTACACCACACAACACGGTTTCACCGTGCAAGGTTAGTAACCTATATCCGATTTTTCGGATGAGCGCATCTGCAATAGCCAGTATGTTCAGATCAACAACTTGACAAAGGGAAAGGGTGGAAGGTTAGGTCAGCTACACCGAATGGAGGAGGTTGGGCGTCTATTTTTTTTTCTCTTAAGTTGTTTACTATACACACTCGCTGTTGCGGATGCGCTCATCCTAAATATCGTATACAGGTTGTACCGTGGTGAGTGCCCACGATGCGTCGTCTTGCAAATAGAAAGCAAATGGAAATACTTTACCAATCCGGTTTGTTTTACATGAATACCGTGAGATGGGGCATCAAGCAGTTTCAAGTAACAAGTTCATGGTAGCGTGGGTAGGATTTGCACTGTAACAATCGATCCTGAAAGTTTGTTGGCAGCTGGTGCTGTAGGCTGATCGATCTAACGGCTCCACAGGAAATGCGGGTTCGCATCCCTCCGGCGCCCATTCTTTCCTTCTCTCAAGTTGTTGTTTACTAATAAGTCTCTTTTAAATTATACATTTTCTGATTATTTATTTTCCCTTCTTCAGGAACCAAAAGCTGATGAACTGTACGACACGCCTCGTAAACTGAAAGAGTGCATCCAAGCCGGCTTCGGTAGCACCGGTTTCGAAACCGTGCACAAACCGTGCGGCTGCGTGATTCGCGTCCGGCAACAGCCCGAACCGGATAGGCCGTGCGTCTGTCAACGGCTCATGTCATGCTGGACGGCGCCGGAAGACGCCGCCACGCACGCCATCTACGCTACGGTGGACTACACTAAGAAGACGCAGCGACCGCCGCCGGCAGCCAACAACTCAGTCACGATGACATCTGCCGCTAACTATGCGAACCTCGCGCCCATCACTACTGTCATGGCGACAACGACCGCACCACAGACCGTTACAAGGTTTGTTGCAAACAGAATGAGGCTTAATATTTTTTGGTTTAATGTGCTAGGGGTTTCGAAGGGAAAATTGGTTTTGGTTAATTTCGCGCCTTAGCATCCTTACCAAATATCTTTATGAGCACAGGCACCCAAACTCAACGGGTCCCAAAATATAGGCCGCCCAAGTCGTTTCGGATAATTTCGCTGATTTTTTTATGTTATGAGACTAGGTTATTTGTACATACATCTAAACTTACCAAAGAGGTATCATCAGCATATAAAAACAATGCAATATCGAGCGTCTGTGACAAGCTATTAGGAATATCATTGATATATAATAAAAATACTAGTGGTCCAAGAACGGATCCTTGAGGAACCCCTTTGGTGTCGGGAGTGCAGCCATTAAAAGGTATTTTTTTCAATAAAATATTATGTTGAGCACAGTCGAAAGCCTTTGACCAATCGAAAAGGTCTGCTTTGATATGTAAATGGTTTTCAGAGCCTTCAGTAACGAGATCTACATATAAGGTCATTAATAGCTGGAGTAGTTGATCTGTTGCGTCTAAATCCAAATTGCCTGTTCTTCAAAAAGTGTTTTGACTCAAGGTGATAGGTAAGCTGATCCTTCAGCAGTACTTCAAAAATCTTTGCAAAATACTAGATCAAAGAAATTAGCCGATGGTTTGAGAGTTCATCAACCGAACCGGTTTTAAATATTGGGAAAATTACTATTTGCAATGCACATATTAAAAAGTTTAGTTAGTGGAACAATAATTAAATTCATTAGTGTCTTTATGATTTTGGAATTAAAGTTGTGGATATCAGTACTTTTGAAATTCTTCAAGGATTAATAGCAGATCTAACTTGATTGAATGAAATTTCTTTAAATGAGAAACAGTCTATGTTTTTGGTGTGAACTAAGTAATCTGAGGCATCACGATTGAATGTAAGAATGCTATCAATAAGTTTCTGCGCTATACTTGTAAAATAAGAAATAAAGAATAGAAGGGCCAAATGATCCAAATTCCCTTTAAGCACGCTTCTCAATAACTGAAGCAATCTTTAATTGGTGATACAATCGAATGAATAAGTGATAAGCTGTCATTCAAAGATTCATTTTAGGGCCGTATCGTCAGTCGTTTCTACAATGGTAGGTGGCCTTATGGCCTCCTTGATTTCCATAGTTTTTTACTCTTCCGTGCCAGCGCTCTATTTTGAGGATATGTTAGAAATCTATTTCCATCAAGTTGTTCATACTTTTAATTTATATCATCTGTTATAAAGCCTGAAATTTCATACAATTCAAGAAGAAAACATAGCTTGACTATAGGAGAGCGCTGACGCTGACATGGAACAGTAGAAATCTAGAAATGTCTCAATATTTCTGAAGGAGAGGAAAGACTATGAAAATCAAGGAGGCCATGAATGCGCCCTACAGTAATTATAGGAAAAACTGATGATATGGCACTTAGATTTCTTCCACAGCTATGGGAATATCCGTATAACGGAAGTTTGATACAATTAAAATTTCAACATGAACTGTCTGAACTTGATTAGGGAAAATGATCTAATAATATTCTTTCTTCTTCAAGCACCAATTACGAGAACATGGACTTCTGCCAAACACTCCAACTGTACGAGAACAGCAAAGAGGTGGCGGAGAAAGCCCGCTCTGTGCTATGCACGAAGTGCGGTCATACGCAAGACGACTACCTCATGATGGATAAGCCCTCACATCAACCTCATCCTGGATACATCCCGATGTCGCCTGCTGTCAAACAGAGGTTGGAGAAAGCGTTGTCCAATAGCAATCCCAATCTGGGTCCAGTGTTGGACAGGTCCACAAAACCGTCCGGATCTGCGATGCTGCATGCGAACGTCTATCAAAGGAGGCAGCTGTTGGACCACGCTGATAACCTGGATGTCAGGAGGAAGAGGTATAGTGTTTTTATTATGATTGAAACGGACTAGCCCCTGGCTGATGAAACCACATGTATTTGAAATTGGGGTTTCATCGGCATTTTTTTAATGTCGTTCAAAAACTGAAGCAACCTCAAACTTGCCAATTTATTGAAAACACGTGTGAAGAGGTATTATTTTCATGGCAAACTATGAAAATATCAGTTTTCCCAAACTAACCAAGATTTGGCAATGTCAATATGTAACCTTGGCCAAAACCTTTAAGGTGACAGTTTTAAACCTCTTTTTAGCTCACGAATTTCCACTTAGGCGAAAATTGTTACGCTCCAAGATGATCTTGGACACGACTTGACACTTTCAACAGCATAAGCGAGGTTAATTCGAAAAATTTAACCTGAATCATGCCTGAAGGTATTCCTGGAATCAATTAACGTCAATCGAAAGATCAAGATCGTAGTCAGGATCAATGCTAATTTTTCTCTCTTTGGTGGAACCAAAAATGGGGTCCCAATCAACATTTTTAAGCTGACTGCTAAATGACCTTAAGGTCCGATTTTACTTTTATTTTAATATTTTCGATTTCTTATAAAATGTCTCTCAACTAAAAAAAAATTATGCCATTTGCGTAAGATGAGCTCCTAACTCTCATATTAAATCAAGAAATATTTCATATATCAGATGAATCAGCCACAAAAATCTATTTTAAATTTGTGTCCGGGCACAAAAATTGACTCAAAGCATACCAACCAAACAGAATAATTTTCGTATAGTCGCAAATCGACGAATAAAAAGAAGGATTTGTGGCCTACTCGAAACGTGGATTAAAAAACCTGATATAATAGATTGACATAACGAAATTACTGAGCATTTTATTAAAAATAACAGTATCTCAATGTTTTTGTACTAAATTCTGCTGAATAAATTCTTTGAATGCATAAATAAAATTACAGAATGCTTATTATTTAACAAACTGAAGAGTAAATAATCAATTCACGGATGCCAGACAGTATCCGAACGCAAATGAAAAATAGGTTTTTGTTCTTAAACCAAGTGATTTATGGCGTACTTTTTGATTTAATATTGGAATTAGGGGCTCATCTGATACGTACCCTATAATGTCTCTAGTTTGAGAGACATTTTACCAGAAAGTCACACATTGGTTGAATTTGTGACTCTCGCGCCACTCTTTTGCGTCCCAGTTTTGTAAAAACGGACCTAAAGTCGAGGTCGAAGTCACCATCAGACTGTTCTCACAAAGCACACATTTCTAGCAGAGTTTTCTGAGAACGAGCATTTGTTTGATAACGTTTTGTGTTGTTCTCTGTTAAATGAATTTTGAACCATTTTTTCGTTGCAGATCCAACTCAGCGGATTCGTCAACGAGCCGCGTCGAGCCCGAACCCGAGCCCGAGAACTCACCCTGCCACTGCGCGCATGCGCTAGCCGTCCGCCGCTCGTCGTCAGTACCCTGCAAATCGAACCGGGACTCGTCGAGCTCGAACGATTCGGGCGTGTTCGAGCTGCCTCGACGCACTCAAATCTGCGCGAGCGCCAATCAGACGCTGCCCAGGAGGTCAAAGTCCTCTGACCCGCTCAGTAACCTCACGTTCCAGTTCAGCAAGACTGAGATCAAGTCGGCGAGTGCCGAGGCTGAGGTACCGGTCTGTCCGTCGGGGTCCACGAGTAGCGGTAAGTATCATTAGAAGTGGGATAAATTGTAAACTGTACCCCCCTCGGGTTTATTAATGTTAAGGAAATACTGTTTTATACGGTGTTTTTTTTGTTGCTTTTTGCACAAAGGGATGCTTTAAATTATAAGAATTTAACATACACTGGATTGAGGGGTTGCTGAAGTGGATGGTTTTTCTGGACAAAACACCTTACATCTCAGTAGCAAATATATATGTTATATATCAATTTTCTTTTTTTGAATTGGTTTATAAAAATATGCAATAAAATTTGAGGGATTCCATTTGAAAAATCACAACTTTGATATGTAGGTCAAAATTGGAACACCCTGTATAATTGCCAATATTTTAGAAATGTGCCCTCAAATGTCATGTACGTATAACATGCCATAAATAAATTTTCCCAAAATTTATTTGTTTATGAGTAATATTCCGTCCACACATGGATGGGCCATCCTGTTATATATATATACTAGTGACATATAAATCCGAACACCCAGTTTAAATGGTTTTATTTTAATAAAAGTTGGTGAATGTATTTATCTTACTGTAAATAACAAGTGAAAAAATTTTCAGCCTTATCAGTTGGACATTCCGTATTTTATACTGTTTTCTTTTAATTCACTAATGCTCTAAATATGAATATTTCAGCCGCAGTAAAGAATCAACGTTTTCGGATTTTGGCTCTTGACATCCTTTACGATCGGTTACGATGCCTAGAGTACGGGGACCTGTACGATTTCGTCAACTTAGTGAGTTTGATAGGGGCCGTATAGTGGGACTTCGGGAAGCTGGACTTTCTTTTCGGGCAATTGCAGTTAGAGTGCAAAGAAGTGTAGACACTGTGGTTAGGTGTTGTCAGGCATGGCTTCGAGAAGGCCGTACGCAAAGAGCAAGGGGCACTGGACGCCGCCGTAGAACAACAGATCGTGAAGATCGCCGCCTAAGATTATTGGCCTTAAGGGACCGTTTATCCACTACCAGGTCCATTGCAAATGAATGGTTTGCAGAACACGGAAGACCTATAGGCATGCGAAGTGTTTACCGACGAATGAGAAGTTTTGGCTTGTTTTCATACCGGCCACACTGGGTCCTCCTTTTAACTCGAGAACACCGACGTAATCGCCTTGAGTGATGCAGACAACGGTCACTCTGGGATCAGGAATGGAACAGTATTGTCTTTAGTGACGAGTCTCGAGTTTATTTAGGCATGCACCATGGTCGTGCCAGGTTTAGAAGGCGACGTGGTGAAAGGAGGAATCCACAGTTTTTTGTTGAAAGACATGTTCATCACACTGTTGGAGTTATGGTTTGGGGTGCTATAGCTTATGGTTCCAGGTCACCTTTAATCTTCATCAGAGGTAACATGAACGCGCAGCGTTATATCCACGAAGTTCTAGAACCCCATCTTTTACCCTATCTTGACACCCTGGCAGATCCAACTTTCCAACAAGATAACGCCCGACCACATGTTGCAAGAGTCACAATAGACTTCTTTCAACATAATGATGTCACATTATTACCATGGCCACCAAGATCTCCCGACTTATCCCCAATTGAGCACGTGTGGGATATGATGGGTAGGAGATTGCTCAATTTGCAACGTCCTCCTCAGACTCTAGAAGCACTTCGAGAGGAGTTGGTGGTTGCCTGGAATGAGATACCGCAGGAGGACGTTGATCACCTGATCAGAAGCATGCCTAGGCGCGTTGGAGAATGCGTAGCACATCAGGGTGCATCCACACATTATTAAAGGTCAAAGAGCTTTAAAGCAGTGCAATCATTTTGAAATTTTTATCATTTACTTATTATGCTTCATTAAGTACTTATACAAAATTTTATTAAAATAAAACCATTTAAACTGGGTGTTCGGATTTATATGTCACTTAGTATATATAAAGAGAAAATATCAATTTGCGGATTTTGCCCATTATTTTCCTATTTTTTTGTTATAGGGTGACTTCGAAGTTGAGTCATTTATTTTAACAGTGTGTAGATCTGATCAAAAGAAATGTTTTTTTCCTTTACCATTTTTCTGGTAAAATTAAAGTAACAAAGTTATAGCCCTTTGGAAGTTTGAGTACCGCCCTGTCTCAATAATATCATGTGTTCGTGTTTGGCAACAACGGTTCATCGCATCGGAAACAAAAAAGCGAAAGAATTTGGAACGATGTTTTTACGATTACAATTCAGTTCAGTTATACATACAGTCAGTTTCAGTCGCGTGTGAATAGTGTCTGTTGCGTGGCTCAAACGAAATAAAAAATGGCACATGTTTATGCGGATCGGTTTCCCAATCGAGTGCAACCAACCCCTCGTGCCTTTGTTAATGTAGTACAACAGGCTCGTGAATCAGGTGACTTAAGACCTCACAGGGGACCTCACGATCAAATGCAGGTCCGCACTGAAATACTTGTCGGGAGGATACTTTATAAAACAAGGTAAAATTTTTTTTTAATTTTTTTTTTATTTTTACACACATATTTTGGTTTATCTTCCTTCTACAATCATTATCTGAAAATTAATGACTCAACTTCAAAGTCACCCTGTATATATGGAGACATTCACTGGCCTCCTAGGTCATCCGACCTCACGCCATCCGATTATTTTTTGTGGGGTTATCTAAAGTAAAAGGTGTATTCCAATAATCCACGAACACTGGAGGAGCTTAAAGACAACATTCGACGAGAAATAAATAACATCATTCCGAAACTCTGCAAGAGAGTGTTACCGAATTTGCGCGCGCGATTAGAAGCGTGTGTCCGAAGAAATGGCAAACATTTAGACGGAATGATATTTTAAAATTAAAATCCGCCGAATTTACGAATATGTTGATAGTAATAAATATTTTCCATTCATTAAGTTTGTATTTTTTTCTTAAATCAAAAAGTAAACCTTCTCACTGGACACCCTATTATAAAGTGTATATCATAGATATTTTTACTTCCATACGCCGCTGGAGATTTTTGATAGTATACTTTTCAATGAAAATGGGATACATTTATCATAAGAAATGTCCATTGTCCTTCGCCCCTTCTAAACGTTTTAAACAAATGTTTTTTATTTCAGGTACCTCAGACATGTCTGACTACATCGAGACGTTGTCCTTATCCTCACACAGTTCCAGCGATGCTCCGCCCCCAAGTTGTACCCTAAGGCCCCGATCTGGCAACGAATACCTGACTATGCAAAGGCTGATCGCCCCCGTGCCTGAGGAAAGGCACTAAACTAGTCAACCACTACACATAGGAAGCAATAACATCCTTTTTTTCATTGGATGCTGATGATCATGATGATATAGCCTTTAGTACCGATATACATACTACTAATATTATTATATTATTATTATGTCTGTATCTTTTTCTGTATAAAGGTATTTACTTTATAAAATAAATTATTCGGTAAATTACTGTGTTTCATTTTGACGTCGACTATTTTGTCTTTTTTTAATAATACCTCTAGGTGTGATAAGCCATTCAACAACGAAAATGGTATAAACACATATCCCCTGCCGCGCCTTTTTTTATACACAAAAGGAAGTTGTGGTGTGATTCCCCTTTCCTTTTTTCAAATTAATTAATGAAATAATAAATAAATAAAACCCTCTAAATTAAATCTAAGGGTCAGCCAATACAAAACAGCTGTCTAATGGCGTGCAAATTTAGGCCCTAGCTCAATAAAGAGTAGGGGAGGTTCAGAGCGCCAGTGACTTAAGACGGATTAAGCCACAAATCTCCGAGGTGTTAATCGGAGCTTATTTTGCCTGACCACCCACACAAAGAAAAGAATCTCAGGGTAATCACAAAACCTTATTAACTGTATACAGAGAGCCAAATAAAATAATATATTTAAAAAATATATTATCAAAACAGCAGCACATACACATGTGCTCCACCACTGGAGTGCAAGTTAAAAGAAAGGATATTATTCAAAAGTACCTGACAATAAAATTATTAGACCGTGATAATTAACCCTACAAAACGTTTACCATGGTACACGTACGAAGGCTATTCAAATATTTTAACGCCTAAAAACAAAACTTATCTGGGCAGTGGTCTTCTTCTAGTTATGGTGCCGATATGTCAGCACACAAACACTCGGGTCAAATGCCAATGGCCAGCAGTGGTCAGTGACGTGAAAAACGTCACAAGGTGGGAGCTGCTTGCCTCGTTCCCAAATTTACGGTTTAAAAAACCCCCTAGAGAGAGAAAGATTGCATAAAAATCTACTCTCTATTCTCTGTCTGAAACAAAACTAATCATTGAAAACACTCAAAACTTGAAGAAAAGTCATGTACATTCTCTTTTACAAGAAAAGTAAAGCAAAGGCAAGAAAAGATAAAAATGTACTAAAGTGATATACCCTCAGAAAGGCCATATAGGTACTGCCTCATATTTGAATAAATAAAATGCCAATCAAGTACACTCTCAAAATTTCAAATTAAAATGATATTTCACCTGGAGGAGTGTGAATGGTGGTGCTCCGCAATGCCTTCCCACTAAAAGGAATGAGATATTGAACAAACTTCTTCAGGAGAGGCATTAATGCTCGTGGTACGATCGTATACAGAAAAGAACTTACCACTGAAGGTTAAAATTCCATTAGAAAAAGGACGGGGTAGCACCCAAACCAAAACAACTAAACGTAACGTAACGTAAAAAATAAAGGATGCTACTCCATAATCTGGTGTTTGCGGCGTAATATCCCAGAATCTAGGAATTATTACCAAGGAAACGACCCACGCACAACCAAAGCCTAGATAGAAGAAGATAAGAGAAGTGCTCTGAAGCCGTAAAAGAAGGCATCCTGATAGTAAACCAAATATTCCCAAACATGTTTTTAAAAAAAGGTATATTGATGGCAAACCAAATATTCCTATACCAACCAACCAACTCTACGGAGGAGCAAGGATATAGTCGTTAATAATACTATAACATTAGTGTTCAAAAGATTTCAACACAACACTGAGTCGCTAAGGAAGAAAGATATAATAGGTGTGAAATTATACAATCAATAAACTATGAAATTTAAAAAAGAAAAACATTGAAAAGGGTTTGGCCTAGGAAACGGTACTCTATAATCAATAATGAGAAATTCAAATTACTGGTAAGTGATCAAAATAGTAAAAAAAAGAAAAGGTTTCGTGATTTTGGCACGTGACATCCCCTCCCTGGCTTCCGCTTGAAAAGTAAAGTTTACTTCCTTTCCACGAAAATCACCATGCTAGATCTAAATTATGGAGAAGTGCCTCCTCCTTATCAGACGCTCTGGCTCATAAAAAAGAAGACGTGTACTTTTAAAAAAAATACAAAGTATCCCATGGCAGTAGCTGAAAAGAATGAAGAAACAGAGGTGCTATCAAGGCGAATCGAAGGACGCCTCAAATGTCCAAATCCATCAAGGTATTTGGACTGACGCATGTAGAATAGACATCTCAAGATTGATTTTTTTATGTCTGCCATTTTGATTTCATAAGCTTTCAGTAGGTATACCCATTGTCACTCGCACTGCCCAGATAAATCTAGAGACACCTCATCCCATGATTATATAAAAAAGGAAATAGATAAACAAAACACCAACTGTAGAAAGGCTATACCTACAAAAGTAAAATTGACAATACTTTCCCATTTCCGTGGCTATTTCAAGGCATGCTGCATTTTGTTAAATATTTTTATAGTCTGCATATTTGTATAAAAAGCGCCTTTCCCTTACTGAATCAATTAATTTCTCTATGGAAGCCATCTTGGACAATAGAACGCAAGAACGCGATCGTTCACACTGACCGGGGCGGTCTGACTGCCGCTGTGTCTGCGCGACTCTATAGAGATCTATTATTTACAAAGACCGTGGAAGCAGAACGGGGAACTCAGAACGCTTTCTGTCTATCCGAGCCCTAAATAGCTGACATCAGATGTCTGAATAAATTACCTCTAGCTAAATATTTCAGTATTACAGCCCACTTTGAGGCAAATTGTTTATCCTGCAAAAAACGCATTTTCAACACAAAGCAGTTTTTCGGTCAAAACTTGTCCCTAAAATTGGACCAAACCTTGTACAAGAAATTGTATAGTCGAAAATACGTCCAGTATCTCCAATGGTCTGATGACCTGTCCATGAAGTCCTTCTACAGAGTTTCCAATGAGTATACTATGCTCGATGAGTACTATTTTTTTTTTTTTTTTTTTTTTTTTTTTGGTGAGGGGGGAATGCATTTACGCACCATACCATAGCCCGAGCTACGGCGTGTGTGGGACTCCAGGGTCTTGAGGAGATCACCTAATACCCACTAAACCCTAAACCTCCGCGTGGCCTGACTCATCAGCGTCTCGGTAGGCCATGTGTTGTGCGTGACCTGCGGTCTGCTACAACGTCTCCTCATGTGTTTCAGTCTCTGGGAACGCCGGGTTGGTTCCCTTTACCTCGCACATTCTATCGATGTCGTTAAGCGATCATCGATAGAGGGTCTGCTGGTTCTCTTGAAACTCTTGTTTTCGAAAAATCAAGAGTTTCAAGTCCTCTTACCAATATGTTGTTCCTGGTCCTGGTCCTGAAGGGTCCTGGTCCTGGTGGGTCCTGGTCGTGGCGGGTCCTGGTCCTGGTTGGTCCTGGTCCCGGTGGGTCCTGGTCCCGGTGGTTCCTGGTCCCGGTGGTTCCTGGTCCTCTGCATCCACGCCGGGGGGGGGGAGCAACCGCGGGTCCTCCTAGTCTCCTAGTCAAGGTTCCAGTTAGCGGGTGCCAACTGGGACCTTGGTCTGGGGTACCTGGTTCTGCGGTTGCGAGGCCTCTCGTCCGGATCGTAGTCCATGAGGAATCGTAGCTGCTCGTTCGGGTGGTCCTGAGCTTTCTCGAAGGTCTTCTCCGCTTTTTTCCTCATGTACTCGTGGATGGTGTCCCAGTGCAGGTCTCTACGCAAGGTTGAGTTTCTTACGTAGGATGGTGCACTGGTGGCGATCAGGAGTAGCTTCATCTCTAGAGCAGCAAGTCGCTTGCGGTAGCTGGGGGCAGCGTACCCCCAGACCGCGGAGGCGTAAGCGAGCTGAGGTCTGGCGATGGCCTTGATCAGCCGTAGCTTGGTCGCTAGCGGCATATGGCTGTGTCAACCCAGTAATGGATAGAGTCGAGCCATGGCTGCTCTGATCTTTGCGATGACAGCTTCTATGTGCGCTTTCCAGGTGAGGGACTTGTCAAATACGATCCCCAGATATTTGACATTGTCGCTCCACTGGATATCTTCGTCGAAGATGGATGCTTCGAGAGGTCTTGCAATCCTTCTTCGTTGAATGAAGATTGCCTGCGTCTTCTGGACGTTGATGCGGATTTTCCATTTCACGCACCAGTCCTGAATGTGGTCCAGTTCATCCTGTAGTCTCCTACGGATGATCTCGGGCCGTCTATGCTTGGCGGCTATAGCAGTGTCGTCTGCATATAGGTGAGTACTATGATTTGTCTGGTAAGCTTTTGAATTGACCGTGAAGGTTTTGCACACAATTCCCAATGGTCCAATGATTCAGATTTGTTTGTGAGTTTAAAATTTGAAAAAGCAAATTTCATAAGAAACTTTCTGCGGCTCATTCCCTGATCAATACAGTTGTTATTTGTGCACCGCGGTATTGAAAATAGATGAAGTTATTGTGACCACGTCCAGAATGGCCAATGATGTGTTTTGTCCGTAAAAGTTTGGTACACAATTTCCGATTATATACTCAGTGACATTAGAAGCGTTACACCCAGAAAAAATAATTTCTTCAAACTTGATTTCTTGGCAATGAGGTAATCTTACATCTAGAATGAAACGAATAACATTCTCACGAAATTTTATTGACAAGTGAAGAGAAAAAAAAATGTATGTGTTGGGCAACCCCGCAGCTAAATATCTACACTCCTGTATAAGTCTAGGCATCGACAAATAAGATGATCGATATCTGTCTGTGAGCATCTCAGTCCAAGCAACTCGAACTTCGTGGATTAGCTGTGACAGAGTCTGTAGCGGATGGTACAAAGTGGATAGTCTCCTCCCTATCATATGCCACACATGTTCGATGGGATTTAAATCCGGTGAACGGGGTGGCCACATCAAAACATTAACGCCTGCTCCTTAAAGAATGCCCGTAGTACGACGAGCAGTATGGGAACATGCGTTGTCTTGCTGAAAAAGGACGTGTGGACGGCCATCTGGATATGGCAGTAAAGTGGTTTGTAGGACATCGCCAACATAACGCGCAGCAGTAATTTTGCCTTGAATAAAGAGGAGGGGTGATCGGCTGCCATAGACAATAGCCCCCCAAACTATTACGCCAACAGTCCTGTGTACATGCCTCTGAACAGCAAATCCAATATCACGCCACTCTCCACGGCGGCATCTTACCCTTCTACGACCATCGTGCGCTAGACAGAATCCCGATTCTT